GCCCGCAGCTGCCAGGCAACGCCCGTGTGCGCAGCGCTCGGCAGGCCGCTGGCCGAGCCAGCACCGACTGCCCGGTTCAGCAGATCGCCAGTCCGGTCCAGACCGGGTCAGACCGGCTAGACCGGTTCAGTCATTATTCTTCAGTTTCAGTCCCGGTTCTTGATTTCAATGTCATTTTCAGTTAAAATTCTGGGTTCAGTTCAGTCCAGTTCAGTTCAGTAAATTTATATCAGTTCAATGTCGTATTTAACAGGTTTTAGTTATACCGATTAAATCCGAATATCATGTCAAGTTCAGTAGAGCATCTTAACATAATTAATCAGTTAATTTATCAGTCTGAGCATAGTCATTAGTAATTGTTTATATTATATTCCAGTTTGATCAGGACACGAGCATCAGCACTACCTTTATTTTCACGGATCAGGTGGGGACTCAGACTAAGTACTACATTGATTATAATTACTCTACCATGTTTGAGGTATGTATTTCATGTCATGTATCCGCTCGGAATGGTCACCGGTCCATTCTGGGTTCTAGTATCCTTAGTCTGCCCACTAGAGTGTGCACATGGTGTTCGGCATTTTATGCTGGCAGATGAGGTAACGGTCGTAGTTCACGTTCCCGTGATGATATCAGGTTCATGTTCATGTTATTACCGGTTTCATGTTCAGGTTATGTATATAGCAGGATCATGATATTGTTATTATTTTCACTGTTTTACTTTAGTATGAGTTTCTGCAGAGCACGGTGTTTTAGTGCTCACGCCCCCACGTATTTCATATTTTTCAGGTCACAGGGTCAGGGACGAAGAGTGAGCTGACGAGTAGTTCAGGACATTTGTTTTGTTATGTATAAACTATGTTTTGACCACGCTATATTTCCACTAAAACTTTCAGTACTTAAACTCAGTTTTTGATCCGACTGTAGTCGGTTAATACTTTATATAACCGTTTTTATTATTAGTTTGAAATTAACAATTTTTCAGTCAGATTTTCACGGTAGCACTCCGAATCAGTTTTCGCAAAATAAATATTTTATTAAATTATTCAGAAAATTTGCGAAAAAAGCGTACTCTGATTTAAGTAAAATAGCGGGGTGTTACAATTGGTATCGGAGCATGTTTCTGTTGGAACCCACGAGGATCTCGATATGCACAAATCACGGACAAACATTCAACATAAACCTATACGCAGCGGATCTAAAGGTTTGATGAAGAAAACTTACTGCTTAAAATTTATGTAGATCTGGCTGGCCCGGACAGTTGACTGCAATCAAATCTTCTCGAAATCGAACAAACTTGACCAATCCAGAAAGCTGACGTCACGGCAAAGTCAACGCCGTTGACCGGTCGGAAAAAGGTCGATTCACGCGCTCTCATGCGCGCGCGTTGTCCTCGGCAGCTGGAACATCCGGCGGCACGTGGCGGCGCGTGCGGTGGCGGACGGCGGCGATCTCGACGGCGATCTCTTCGTCTCGTCGTCCTGGTCGTCGTGGTATGGTCACTTGCTGGTTTTGGTCTCCGGTTTGGATGTATGATTGGAATCTCTATATACCTTAAGATCTTCTACTGTATTCTCAAACAGCTTTTTAGATCTTGTATCACTGGAGCACAAGAAATAGAAGAACTCCTTGGAAGAGAGAGAGAGAGGGGGCGGACGATTCCCAAAAGATGTGGGATTGTTCTGTTCTCTT